GGGAATTTATTTATGATGCACTTCATTCATTCATTTATTACATTTCTATCCGGTCATCTCCCCTCCACGATGGTGGCTCATTCTGCACCTAGCTATCTCCCCCAGGGGACTACCCTGTCTTGTGAAGCCGTGCCAGATATGGCCTTCAACCCCAAAGATAGTTCACCTTTGCCCTGGGTATTGTTGTGGCCCGATGGTGGCTAGTGGAGCTGGCAGCAGAGTCGGACAGTAGTGAGGAGGTTTGGGAGGATCCTGGGCCAGTCGTGGAGGCTGAGGAAGGCTCGGACGAGGGCTCTGCCTCAGAGTCAGAGATGGGGCCAGGGCAGGCTGGCAGTTGTCAGCTGCCTTCGGGCTCAGACAGAGTGAGGCGGGGGAGCTTCTGGAGCTGGTTCCTGATGTGTGCATGTGCAGAGCTGCCAAAAAAATAATAATAATTATGAACTAAGGGTCGACGTGGGAGTAAGGCCACAGGTGGATAGTGAATGGCCCCTCCCATCAGGATTAAAATAGGAGCAAAGGGGGAGGGGGCTTTTGCAGGCAACAATTCGTTTGTTGCAGCAGTGTGAAGATCTGTCTGCGCATCTCAGATAATCTGTGCCGAGTCCTTCCTTGTCAGCACTGCGTTTGGAAATAGTTACTGGGCAGCTCTCCACGCTAGATAAGGTCTGTGCTCCTAATTACGCCCTTGGAAGACAGGCCTTTGGCTTAAAGTGGATGCAAGAAATTCACCTTTCGTTTAATAAAAGGGGTTTTGCCAGGACAAAGAGTCTCTGCTTAGTGCTTTTTGGGGAAGACTTTTAGGTCAGAACAAATATTTACTATATATGGAAAGTGAGGAAAAGGCCCCACTTTAAGGATGGAGAATTAGGAGTTTGTTCTCACGGACGGATTGATTGTTTTCTAGTTGCGCATGATCAACTGCAACAGGACGGGCTTCTCCAGAACCACCTGAAGAAGATTGCCCTTGCAGATATTCCGTTTTCAGGACTACTTGGGTTGCTCCAGATCACTGGGGAGGTGGCCATCAAGAAGGCAAACTTCTGGAGATGTTTTGCACTAAGGGGTGTTGTGGCTCAGGGTTTGGATTCTGCTCCTGTGGCAGATATGAGTTCAAGTGATGAGGACATGGCAGCAAAATATGAGCCGGCATTGCTTAGTGATTGGGATAGTAACCAGGATGAGAAGATGGATGTAACAAGGGAAGATAGACCTGAAGTAATAGAGTTGTCAGGACCTTCGACCTCCTCTGGTTCTTTATCTGATCAGCAGCCGGGAATGGCTGTCAGGGAAGGCATGAGAGAGTTTTCCAGCGGAGATGAAAATTTGGAGAACTTATGGCTAGACGTCAGAAACAGAAGGAGGCTGAGAAGACAAACTCAGTTAGAAAGGAAGCGTAGAGCTAGTCATTAATTAGGGAAATTAGCACGCTTCATAAGTGAATAAAAGGACACGGCTGGGCTGGTGGAATTCGCCAGAAGCAAAGTGACTAATTGGGAGTGAAGACATGCAGCAAACTCTCTGAGGCTTGTGATTTACTGCCACGCCAGGGTTGCCGGACAGAGTGGGGGTTTATTGCTGTGTATTGGAATTTACTCCAGCCGTTCTCTTGTGGGGGTTTGTTTTTGATTTGAATTAATTCTGAAACGGCTGCTTTTTGTTTTGCTCACCTGGAATTAAAGGGGAGACATAACAAAGGGGTCTTTGAGGAACATTTGGGTTAAGCTTAGGAAGGAACCACAGGACGTGTTACATAAAGGTAAAGGCTCCCCTCGCACATGTGTGCCAATCATTTCTGGCTGTAGGGGTTGGTGTTCATCTCTGTTACAAAGCCGAAGAGCCAGCGCTGTCTCCGTGGTCATGTGGCCAGCATGGCTAAATGCCGAAGGCACACAGAACGCTATTCCCTTCCCACCAAAGGGGGTCCCTGTTTTTTGCATTTTTTTTAACGTGCTTTCGAACTGCTAGGTTGGCAGCAGCTGGGACAACGAATGGGAGATCATTCCGTAACGTGGCGCTAGGGATTCGAACCACCGAACTGCCGACCTTTCTGGTTGACAAGCTCAGTGACAAGCCAATGAGCCACTGCGTCCCTAGGACACGTTAGGACCGCTCTATATTGCACTAGTGAGACAACGCTTGAAATACTGGGTCCAGTTTTGATCGGCACGATATAAAAAAGGATATTGAGACTCTGGAAAGAGTGCAGAGAAGAGCAACCAGGATGATGAGGGGACTGGAGGCTAAAGCATACGAAGAACGGTGCAGGAATTGGGTATGTCTAGTTTAGTGAAAAGAAGGGCTAAGGATGACGTGATAGCAGTCTTCCAATATCTCAGGGGCTGCCCCAAAGAAGAGGGAGACAAGCTGTTCTCCAAAGCACCTGAGGGCAAGACAAGAAGCAACGGGTGGAAACTAATCAAGGAGAGAAGCAACTTAGAACTAAGGAGAAATTTCCTGTCAATTAGAACATCAGTGGAATGGTTTGCCTTCAGAAGGGATGGGTGTTGCAACACTGGAAGTTTTAAAGAAGACATTGGATAACCATTTGTCTGAAGTGGTGTAGTAGGGTCCCTTCCAACTCTGTTATTCCGTTTTGTTAGTTTAATAAAAAGAAGGACTAGGTGTGATATGATAGCAGTCTTCAAAAATCGGAGGGGCTGCCCCAAAGAAGAGGGGGACCACCTATTTTTCAAAGCCCCTGAAGGCAGAATAAGAAGCAACGGGTGGAAACTAATCAAGGCGAGGGGGAACCTGGGACTAAGGAGAAATTTCCTAACAGTGAGGACAATTGACCAGTGGAACTGCTGGCCACCAGAAGCAGAGAGTCTAGACAGTCACTTATCTGAAATGGTATAGGTTCTCCTGCTTGAGCAGGGGGCTGGACTAGAAGACCTCCAAGGTCCCTTCCAAGCTCCATATTATTCTAATTTACGTGAGAGGAGGCTAAAACATATGAAGAACGGTTGCAGGAATTGGGTATGTCTAGTCTAGTGAGAAGAAGGACCGGGGGTGACATGAATAGCAGTCTTCCAATATTTGAGGGGCTCCCCCAATGAAGAGGGGGGGGGTTCCCAGTGGGAAAGATTTTAGGTGAGAAAGATGAGGAAATGAGAAGATGGAGATGATGATGATGAGGAGGAGGAGGAGCAGGAGGAAGAGGAGCAGGAGCAGAGGAAGAGAAAAGAGAAAAAGGAGAACTGTGAGGTCCTGGGTGTTCTCTGGCTTTCTCGAAGACATTTCATGACCCAACTACTTAGCCTCATTAATACTACGGTACAAGAGAAGTGGGTTTGCAGATAGTAGTAATAGTACTAGCACTAGTAGTACTAGTAGTACTACTAGTAGTAGTAGTAGAACTGTGGGGTCCTAGGTGCTCTCTGATTTTGGTTGTTTTCTTGTAGCCACTTCATGACCCAACTAGGTAACATCCTCAGTGCTAGAAGAGAGTAAAGTCTGCATTCATTTTATGTTCTGGTGGCTGAGGTAGACATATTCCTGTGCAACCAACCTTCTTAGAAAGGCCACACCTGGAGTACTGCATCCCGTTTTGTGCACCACATTATAAAAAAGATGTTGAGACTCTACAAAGAGTGCAGAGAAGAGCAACTAGGATGATGAGGGGACTGGAGACTAAAACATATGAAGAACGGTTGGAGGAACTGGGCCTGGCTAGTCTAGGGAAGAGGAGGACCAGGGGAGACAGGAGAGCAGCCTTCCAATATTTGAGGGGCTGCCACAGGGAGGAGGAAGGGGTCAAGGTATTTTCCAAGTCACCTCAAGGCCAGACAAGGAATAATCGATGGAAACAGAACAAGGAGAGATTCAACCTGGAAATAAGGAGAAACTTTCCGACAGTGAGAACCATCAACCGATGGAACAGAAGTTGCCCTTGGAAGTTGTGGGAGCACCATCACCTGAGACTTTGAAGAAGAGATTGGACTGCCATTTGTCAGAAATGGTGTAGGGTCTCCCGCTTGGGTGCAGGGTTGGACTAGATAAGGTATCTTCCAATTCTGATTATCTGTTATCTGTTCTCTTCTATGGGTCCCTGATTTTCTCTTGGGGAAGGGAAAACCCAGATTCGGGTTTTGCCAGATGTGTCAATATGACTGTCAGGGTTACAGCGATTGCCCTAATTAAATCATGAGCCTTGGGCCAAGCTTCAAAAGAATTCAGAAGATTTACTAGGAGCAACATGCCGGCTGCCAAGGCTCCAACCTGCCCCATTCACCCCCATTCAAATCAAAAGTCTCTAGCCACATCTCTCAGCGTTAAAAAAAAAAATTGATTTATTAGGAGTTAACATGTCGGCGTTTCCTGGTTGCAGCCGACACTAAGATACATCATTCATTTCCCCCTTTATCCTAGTTTTCCCTCCACCCCCTGCATGTATATTCTCCAATGGGACACGTCCATAGCCAAGAGTCATCCATCATGCTCTCTAATAATATTCTTGCGTGCCAACAGCCAAAGCGATTATCTGAAGCATTTAAGGAATGCACTTCTTTCCCCCATTCCCTTATCTGCTGGCAACTAAAAAAACCAAAGGAGTATTTTTTTAGTTGACACAGGCATTAACCTAAATTAAGCCAACTCTGGCATATGTAATTCACGGTCATTTGTGACCCTGTTTCCCCCCTCCCCCCCCGGGTGTCTTATAAATCAGATTCTCCAATGAAGCACATTCAGGGCTGGGTGTCATCAATCACATTCTCCAATGAAGGATTTTCATGGGCAGAAGATCCGGTAGCCCAGCTACAATCTTTGTAAGATAAGTGCGGAATGTACTTCTGGTTTTAATTGCCATACTGCTCTTTTAGATTCTCCTCCCCCCGTTGTTTATGGCAACTCAAAAACAGGCATAGGAGTGTTTTACGAGTTGACAACGGCTTCTTCAATAAATTCTTACTTGGATGAAGTTTGTTTCTGAGTGCTGAATGGAAATGGGGAGTTTCATTGGAACGCTGACCCTGGGAAGGTCTCCTCTGGCTTCTTCCTAGGTTGACTTTGACATCAAGGGCCAAGGACTCCTCTCCATCCTCGATTCAGCCCCCGATCTAATGCTGCCCCCGCTGGACAAATATCGCCATTGCCAGTGTGTCCATGCTGCCGTACTCAACATCTTCCTTTCGGTGGTCCTCAGAATACAACCTCAGGAGTTCAGCTGCACGCCCAACGTGGTAAGGAAATGAAGACCCGGACTTTCCAAGCTGGAAACTCTTCAAGCTGTGGTACCCACCTGGGCCGTTATTTATATATTTTCTCCGGCGATGCGTTCTTTTCAAAGGTCCTTTCCATCGACCAATAGAAATGGATCTTTTATTCATTTGAAGTAAAAAAATTTAAAAAGTAAATGTTAAATGAAGGTGTGCTTTCACCTCCCTGTATGGATCGATATTTCCTGAAGGGATAGGTATTCGTGCTCCATATAGCAATAGTAGAAGATACTAGGCAGAGTATGTTGGAGTGTTTTCATGATGTAAAAAACGTGGATGTTTCTGACCTTAATGACAACGTCTTTTCTGTATTATTTGTCGAGAAGGAAAAGGAAAAAAGGAGAAGAAGAAAAAAAGAAGCCATTCCTAAAAATAATATGGGTAACATATTTAATTTTTGACTTTCCCGCTTTCTTTGATTTCCAATTTGCAGCAAAAAGATACATTGTGTAGTTAGAAGAACCTTTCAGTATTAATTCTGTATTAATGCATTAATACGACTGAGTGCTGAAAATCTAGAATATACATACCGAGGATGCAGGTTTTGGAATCATTAACCCTTTCCTTCTCTCCTTCCTCTCCTCCCCTTCCTTCCTTCCCTCTTTTCCTTCCTTCCTCTCTTCCTTCTCCCTCATTCCCTTCCTTCTCCCTTCCTTCTCCCTCTTTTCTCCTTCCTTCCTTCTTCTCCCCCTCCCTCCTTCCCTTCCCACTCTCCTTCCTTGCTTCCTCCCTCCCTTTCCTCCCTCTCTCCTCCTTCCTTCCTCTCTCCTTCCTTCCTTCCCTTCCTTCTTTCTTCTTCCCTTACCACTCTTCCTTCTTTCTTTCCTTCCTTTCCTCCTGCCCTCTTCCTTCCTTCCTCTCCCCTCCCTCCCTTCTTTCGTCCTTCCCTCTCTCCTCCTCCCTTCCTCTCTCCCTCTCTCCCTCTCTCCCTCCTTTCTTCTCTCCTCCTTCTCTCCATCTCTTCTCCTTCCTTCCTCTGTCCCTATGTCCATTCTTTCCTTCCTTCCCTCCTTTCTCCTCCTTCCTCCCTTCTTCCCTTCTTTCATCCCTCCCTCTCTCCTTCCTTTCTATCTCCTCTTCCCTTCCCTTCCTTCTTTCCTCCTACTCTCCCTCTCTTCTTCTTCCTTCCCTCCCTCCCTCCCTCCCTCCTTCCTTCCTTCCTTCCTTCCTTCCTTCCTTCCTTCCTTCCTTCCTTCCTTCCTTCCTTCCTTCCTTCCTTCCTTCCTCTCTCCCTTCTTTTGTTCCTTCTCCAGTTTTCTGGAGCTGATGCACTGCGAGCCACTATCTTAGCTCTGATTCCAGAAGTAAGTATGACTCAAAGATATTTTCTTACAAAACTTTTCTGATAACCAAGCTTAAGAAAGGAACAATGGAATTTCAGCGTGACGAGAGAACATTACAGAGAAATACAAATTGCAGGAAAAGTGTTAGTATCACATTATATTGCACTAGTAAGACAGTCTTGGAATAGTATTGTCAGTTCTGGTCACTATCATACAAAAAAAGATGTTGTGACTCTAAAAAGAGCGTGGAGAAGAGCAAGAAAGATGATCAGGGCACTAGAGACTAAAACATATGAAGAATGGTTTCCGGAACTGGGTATATTGTCTAGTCTAGGGAAAAGAAAAACCAGGGGCGACAGGATAGCAGTGTTCCAGTACTTGAGGGGCTGCCCCAGAGAAGAGGGAGTCAAGCTCTTCTCCCGAAGGCACCCGAAGGCAGGACAAGAAGCAATGGATGGAAACTAATCAAGGAGAGAAGCAACCCGGAACTAAGGAGACATTTCCCGACAGCGAGAACACATAATCGGTGGAATGAGTTGCCTTCAGAAGTTGTGGGTGATTCCATCACTGGAGGCTTTCAAGAAGAGACTGGACAGCCACTTGTCTGAAATGGTCTAGGATCTCCTGCTTGAGCATAGGGCTGGACTAGAAGACCTCCCAGGTCCATTCCAGCTCTATTCTGATCGATTAGCTTACTGCTCATGGATCCCATTTGAGATACAAGGGGTGTCCTGCTCGAGCAAGGGGTTGGATAGAAGCCCCCCAAGATCCCTTCTGTTAGCCTATGTTTCCTTCCTCCAAATGCCGTATTGAGATTTTCCTTCCCTTTCTTTACAGCCACCTCCCTTCATCTCCTCGGTAGGTAACACCAGACTCTGCCCAGAACATGGTTTGTTTGGGGTCATATTTGGGCTCCCCTCCCTCCATGTGTTTCCCTTTTGACCTTCCTGTTTTTTTTCCAGGCCATCCTCTACTTCCGGGTCAGCCTCTTGCAAAGTCCCGTGCTTCAGCTTGGAAACGGTTTTGCCATAGTCCAGGTTTCGGTCCAACTTGAGTTCTTTGTCAAGAACCTTGATGGCTCAACAACTTCCATCGTCATTCTGCAAGAGGTCAGTCAACCCCTCCACCTCCAATGAGCCCAGAAATTCTTAAGTTGGCTTCCCAAGATAACCGTTGACCTTTAGAAGAACTTCTAGCTATGGTTATCTAATGCAGGGATGTCCAACCTTGGCAACTTGAAGACTTGTGGATTTCAACTCCCACAGTTCTGGAAGTTGAAGACCACAAGTCTTCAAGTTACCAAAGTTGGATACCCCCTGGTTTAAATCCTGTTCAGTTCTGGGAGTTGATGTCCAGACATGTTCAGGTTGCCAAAGTTGGACATCCCTGGTTTAGATGCTCTTCATTTCTGGGAGTTGAAGTCGCATGTCTTCAGGTTATCAAGGTTGGACAACCCTGGTTTAGATCATGTTCAATTCTGGGAGTTGAAGTCCACATCTTAAAGTGGCCAAGGTTGGGCAGCTGTGATGACCCGGGGCGTGGCACAAAGGCAACAGAGTCACATAAGTAAGAAAAGTCCCTTTAATACCTCCAACTTTGCCCCCAATGTCCAGGTTTCCTTCGACTGGAGAAAAAACTCTCCCAAGAACAGTCTTTAAGTGGAGGAAATTCAGTCCGAAAACAAAGTACATACAAACTGTAACTAAAAATCCACACAAGCCACGCTGCAGTAATTAACTTGACAGGGCAGGAGAAGGAATTCCAGACTTGAAAGCACAGCAAAATACACACAGTTGGGAAGACATAAGGAACCCCAGATAAACCTCAACAATAATAGATAATTCACTATTTGCTTTCAACAAGTTGCTGTGCACAATCTCCCTTTTTATACACTGTGTTCCCAGCTGCAGCTAATGAAGGGAATCAGGGCCCTTTCCTCCCACGTAAGCCATGCAACCCATGTTGCTCCCTTCTTCGTTCCTCCCTCCATGCCCTAGGATGAAGAGGGGGGTGGGCCTGGGTGTTCCTCTGAATTCATTCTGCCTTGCTCTACCACTACCCTGCTCTGCCCAGCCGGACTTTGCCCTTCCCCAGTTTCTTCCACAGCCAACAGAGCCACACTCCCACTTCCTGTCAGCTGCTCACCTCCCCCCCGGAATCAGATTCCGATAGGGGCGTGACAACAGCCCTAGTTTAGATCCTGTTCAATTCTGGGAGTTAAAGTCGACAAGTCTTAAAATTGCCAAGGTTGGACACCCCTGGTCTAATGGATCTCTCCTCTCTCCATTGCCTATCTGCAGAGCCTCAGCTTGAGCGCGACCTTCACGGTGACCAACGGCCATCTACATGCTTCCTTGTCCATCTCAGAGTGAAACCTGGTTCTCTTCTTACCAGACCTCCAATGCTCAGTGGGAGCTTCATTATGAAGAAGATCTGTTGCCCAGTTGCCTTGGGAAGCATCAGCTGGATTTGCATTCTATAGGATGCCCTTTTGTCCTCATGTAGACACAATGATGGCTATCAGGGATGTACAGAAATGATCCAAAGGTTCAACATGGCAGTGGTGCAGTTGATGGCCTGCTCGCTTTTCGTGGTTTTGCATCATCTCAATCTTGACTTGTTGGACCATTTCCTGTGGGCCACTTTTGATGGCCCTTTCTAAATCATGATGTGATTAATGTGGTAGGTTGGTTGCCTCAAAAGAGGGTAAGCTGAAACCTCCTACCGGTATTTTAGCCCGGTCAAAGTGTGGTAGGAACCAAGCCATTATTAGATGGAGCTTCCTCCATTTGACCTGGATCAAAATTCCATCCTGAGCCTCCTAATTAACTTATCTCTGTGAAAGGAAGGTCACAATTAGGATGATATTGTGGAATTTGTATAAACAGAAGCTTAGAATCAAAATCAGGTAAAGTATTAGTACAGCTTTATAAAGCCTTAGTAAGACCACACCTAGAGTACTGCAACCAGTTTTGGTCACCACGTTATAAAAAAGACATTGAGACTTTAGAAAAAGTGCAGAGAAGAGCAACCAGGATGATTAGGGGACTGGAGAGTAAAACCTTTGAAGAACGGTTGCAGGAACTGGGCCTGGCTAGTCTAGGGAAGAGAAGGACCAGGGGAAACAGGATAGCAGTGTCCCAATACTTGAGGGGCTGCCCCAGAGAGGAGGAAGGGGTCAAGGTATTCTCCAAGGAACCTGAAGGCCAGACAAAGAATAATGGATGGAAACTGATCAAGGAGAGATTCAACCTGGAAATAAGGAGAAACTTTTTGACAGTGAGAACAATCAACCGATGGAAGAGAAGTTGCCTTCGGAAGTTGTGGGAGCTTCATCCCTGGAAGCTTTCAAGAAGAGACTGGACTGCCATTTGTCAGAAATTGTGTATGGTCTCCTGCTTGGGCGGAGGGTTGGACTAGATGACCTACGAGGTCCCTTCCAACTGTGATGATCTGTTTAATCTGGAATTTTTGGGCCTTTCTTTGATGTGGAATGAATTCTCTTTTCTGCCTTTCAGGCATAAAGCCGCGTTGATTTCCTCAGCTTCGGGCATTAAGGATGTGAGTGGATTTCTCTTGAAATATTAGTCCCTTTCTCTCTTTTGGTCAAAGATTTCTGCTGACTTCCTTTTATTTTCTGCTTCCAGGTCAGCAGCCTTGAACCTCACTGTGGCAAACTGCGGGGTGAAACCTTTTTGGTTTCCCTCAATGGTAAGATATTCTGCTGAATCAGGGCTGGTGGGGGAGGCTGAGGTGAGACCCCCCCCCCGCCGGAGTCCTGTTTGTTCTTTGGGTGTTGTAAGGTGGTGCTTTCAAGATCTGATGGCAAAATTTGGAGGACACAATTTTCTATCTATGGAGTCCTTGGGGCTCTCTGAGTCCTTGGTGGCTTTCTTGTAGAGGTCTCAAGACCCAGCTAGGGAACATCATCAGTGCTAGAAGGGAGGGAGATTGGCAGGGAGGAGGAGGAGGAAGAGGAGGACTGTGGTGGTCTCTGAGCTTGGATGAAAGTCTTTAGAGATTCTCCATCCTTCAGGTCACAGTTGTCCCAAAGGTCCTTTCTTGTTTTTTCTTTTGAAGACGTTTTGCTTCTCATCCAAGAAGCTTCTTCAGCTCTGACTGGATTGGGGGGGGGGGGTTAACGTTGGGTTTGTTTTTTTTTTGCAAATATTTTTCGACCCAGTTGGGGAATATTATCAGTGCTAGAAGGGAGGGGGGTTTGCAGGGAGTAGTAGTAGTAGTAGTAGTAGTAGTAGTAGTAGTAGTAGGAGGAGGAGGAGGAGGAGGAGGAGGAGGAGGAGGAGAAGGAGGAGAAGGAGGTGGTGGAGGACTGTGGAGTCCTTGATGCTCTCTAACTTTGGATGTTTTCTTGCAGACATTTCATGACCCAGTTAGGGAACATTATCAGTGCTAGAAGGGAGGGGGGTTTGCAGAGAAGGAGGAGGAGGAGGGGAACCTTAGGGTCCTTGGTGCTCTCTGAACTTTGCAGACATTTCATAATCCAACTAGGTAACCTCATCAGTGATAAAGGGGAGTGGGCTTTGCTCTCTGCTTATCTCTTAGTGGCTTGCCCCTCCAGTGTTGTTGAATAACATTAGAAAGGACCCTGATGGGTTGGATCTCCAACACTTCCCAATCGGCTTCAGTGCACCATATTTATGGTCAACTCTCAGCTTTGCCACTTGGGGATTCTGGGAGTTGAAGTCCACCCAACTCTTGTTGTGGTTGTTGTGTTTAGCAACTGCCTCCCTTCCTATCAGTCTGATTCACTGGAAGAATTTCCACCCCACCCCAGGTTTCCTCAGTGTCGGATTCCGTCTGCCTTCCATCTTGACTGTTATACTGGACAAAGTTTCAATCCAGTTTATTGAGGTAAGTTCCAAAGGAGGAACTGATGCTTGCTTTCCTTGGGCGTGAATTCAGTTCAGTGTCAGGATTCCGGCAGTTGCCCTAATTAAAATCATGAGCCTCGAGCCAAGCTTCAAAAACTTCAGAGGATTTATTGTGAGCGAACATGTCGGCATGACCTGTATGAAGCTAATTCTGAATCATGTGATTTACTATCACCCATGACCCTGTTTCGCCCCCCCCAACCTCTCTGGGTGTATCATAATTCATATCCTCCAACAAAACACGTTCATAGCTGAGCGTCATCAATCACGTTCTCCATTTAGGGATTTTCGCCAGCAGAAATTCAGGTAGCTTAGTTACAATCTTTGCAAGATAAGAATGGAATGCACTTTTGGTTTTAAACTGCCACACTGCTCTTTCAAATCTCTCCCCCAACCCCCCTTCTGTCCATGGCAATTCTAAAACAGACATAGAAATGGATAGAAATGAATAGAAATGAATAGAAATGAATAGAATAGATTTCTTTATTGGCCAAGTGTGATTGGACACACAAGGAATTTGTCTTTTGTGCAAATGCTCTCAGTGTACATAAAAAGAAAAGATACATTCGTCAAGAGTCAAGAATCATAAGGTCCAACACTTAATAATAATCATAGGGTACAATAAGAATAGAATAGAATAGAATAGAATAGAATAGAATAGAATGGAGGAATGGAATGGAATAGAACAGAACAGAACAGAACAGAACAGAATAGAATAGAATAGAATAGAATAGAATAGAGGAATGGAATGGAGTAGATAATAGGAAAAGGAAAATAGAATAGAATAGAACAGAACAGAACAGAACAGAACAGAACAGAACAGAATAGAATAGAATAGAATTCTTTATTGGCCAAGTGTGGTTGGACACACAAGGAATTTGTCTTTAGTGCAAATGCTCGCAGTGTACATAAAAAGAAAAGATACAATCGTCAAGAATCATCAGGTGCAACATATAATGATAGTCACAGGGTAATAAATCTATCTATCTATCTATCTATCTATCTATCTATCTATCTATCTATC